CGGACTACGGGGGGAAATGTCACCTCGAGGGGAGCGCGGGGGAGTCAGGGAGCGCTTCGAGGCTTCAAGATCAGCAATGCGTTTCTCAAGCCCTTGCACTTTGTCGAGTTCTTTGATCCTAGCTTCAAGATGCTCGATCTGTTTCTGGGCTTCTTGGAGTTGATGGGAGTGATCGCTCGAAACGGTCTCAAGGCCTGATACTCGAATCCCCTGTTGTTGGAGTTCAGCCCCGAAATGAGCCATTTCTGATCGCGAAAGATCAACCTTGTTATGTAGCCCGATGATTCCAGCATGAAGGTCCTGAATCCAAGGGGGGGCTTCACAGGGCAGGGGATACATCCCAACCCCAGACCCAGGAACAGGTACCGGCCTAGCCTGAGCGGAGAAGGACTTTTCAGCGTTGGCAGTATCGAGTTCATCGGGGACATGATCAGGATGGGGGAGGCTAGCCTGACTATCTTTTGTTGTCCCTCGTTCTCCTTCATCTGCTAGGTCCGCATCATCATCGTCTATTGTGAGGTCGAAGGTGGCTGTGGGGTTAGGCACCGGGAGCATGGCTTTCTCGGCTTTAACAGCGGGCTTGGGGGCATGCACACATGCACTGTCAGAATTCAAACTTGGCTTAGCACTTGCACTCAAATTAGGAACAGGCTTGGCATGCACGCAACTTGAATTCGCACTCAGAATCTCCGGCAGTGGGGTAACCCCTTCTGAATTCAATAAATTCACAACCTCGCCCGAAGATGAGACTCCGTTCCCCGAGCTTCCGTGACCTGCGCTCGCGGCTCTGGCCTGTGTGGACCCGAAATCCGGCATCTCCGCATCGACCGACTCTGCTTCACGCTTGAGTTTCTTAAGGTCGGGTGGTGGGACATCCGGGGAGCGCTTGTCCTTGTTGTCTCCACTCTCTCTAGACTTTTGTCGCCTGTGCGCGGGAGACGCGACCGTGCTGGGGGAGTCACGGGTTCTTCCGCGGGGGGGTGGTCCTTCAAGTACATCCGTGTGTCTGCCCACAGCAGGCAGAGGGGTAGATTCAGGGAGGTGAGCCTCGCTTTTTCTAATAGATCTATCTTTGGTGTATGGGTGCATGCTATCATACCTCTCATACCCAAGTTTTTCCTTCATGGCGGCGACTTCGTACGGATTGAGCTGTCTCGCCCTGTTTACCGTCTCTTTAGGTTTGGGGGCTGACGGGTCTCTAGCCTCGGACTCAGGACGACTCGTCATCACCAGGGAAAGGAAGCAGGGAGAGAAAAGAGCACCCCACACCCCGAAAGAAAACAGTACCCCTTCCGCTCAGCAGACAGTGACCCCTGTGAACCTGAGCCCAAATGCTTGAGCCAAAATGGCTTGTAGCCATTCGAAAGGATTGATCAGGGAATAAGTGGGGGGTGGAAGGGGCCCTCCTGCAAACGTTTTCATCCCTGATATATCATCATGGGCCAGGGCCCCCCAAACTCTCGTTTGGCCCAAAACCGACACTGTAAACAACAACTCACGCAAGCTCCAAAATAGCTAGCTTTCGTAATTGCTTCAATCAGCTTAACCAGAGCGGGACCCCAACCCAAATGATGCTGCTGACAGTTCTGATGCCCCCAATCATGGGGACAGTAACTTAACGGCAAGGCAAGCGTGACCTTCACAGGGAGGACTGTGCCATTAATCGACTGCTAACCCTATTTGCAGCTTTTCCGGCGGCAGCTACCAAGGTTCTCAAAGTGCAGCCCCAGGGGCCACCAACGGTGCCGTGTGTGCAGCCGCTGACCGTCAAGTGTGCCTCAGCGCAACGACATGCCGAGCAACTGAGGAGTTTACGCTCTCGCAACTCGGACTCCGCCACACGAGGTCTCTAGGTCCAACTACGCCAACTCGACTACTCTCTGAAGCTGCAATCACCTTTACACGACTCAAAACCAACTAAGGTAGTAAAAAGATCTGATGAGAAGCTAAGTCTACCCAACACAAAAAGCAAAACTACTGAGGAGTTTGGGGTTTACACCCTTGCAACACGCCAGGCAACTCCCTTCGAGGCCACACTCACTCGAACCCAACAGATAAGGTTCAAGACAGTCCGGTCGCCAACCTACAAGGATCGAACCACACCAAAACAGTACAAGCAACCCCGTGACTGAACCACAACCTTTTTGTAGCAGGCCCCGTTGTCCAGCAGCCCGGTCTAGTCAAACAGTCAAACCCACCCCTCCCCTAACCTGAACCGAAACCCAAAGACTGGACCCGGAGGTCACGGGACTGAACCATCCTCCATCTCTTGGTAGATACATGTTCATCACAGGGGTGAGACATAACAGGCACGACTCGTTCCGAAACAATTAACACCGAACCATCCGATGACAACTAGCTAAGGTCGAGACATCCGAACAAGAGCAGTAAGGAGCTTATCACTTGAACGTCGTGGAAACATTGTCGCAATACACGATCGGGAGCTTGCATTTCATAAGCTAGTGATATCTACCTACCTGCCGAGCACCAGCTTGCGTGACTTGCTTCCAAGTACCGTCACAAAAACTGCTCAGGGACTGTGCAAACTGTGAATCAGACACAAGGGCAGAAAAGGCATAAGGTTTCAACTCGGGCAACTCCGACAACCCAGCCGAGGCAAGCAGATCCATCATCGGGTGGTCAACGACGGAGAGCTCTCGAACAAGAGAAGGCATAGGACTTAGAAGCATGCCGATTATTGAAGACTACGAGTGCTTTTCGTATTCCGAATGTTGAGGCCCCTCTAGCATTCCGATAACACTTCAATCTGCACTTAGACTTGCTGTTGCATTGGGGCTACGACGATTGACGATTGCCTCACAAACTCACAAACACGCTTACCACCCCGATGAGTCTGCTCCCGGGTAGTTGCTGCCTGTATTGCCTGTCCTCAGCCCATCATAAGTCAAAAAGCCGTGCAGACATCTTCAAGCAGAAAGTTCTGGACCACTCCCCACACCCTGCGCCGTTTTTGACCCTGGAACCTTGAACCCCCAACAGCAAACCCAAAGCGGCCAAAGAGGGTTCACCGGGTCGCGAGCGGTCTGGCCCACACACTCTACTGGCCCGACGGGCGCCTGTGAAGCCTCGTCAGGGAGCTGCGCAGGCTTCAAAAGCAGGACGCGGGCTGGAGTCGACACTCACAGCTGGGACAATTTCGTTTTGAGGTTGAGAAGGTAAACACTTCAAGTTGCAACTGTCAGCTTAGAGCGAAGCCGCCCCCAAAGTCAGCACTCGATTCATGCAGAGATCTAAGTTAGTGACGGGCTGTGAGGGCACTGCCTGTTGCGCAGGCTGCTGGGCACCTGAGGCCGCCAACAATTTGGCCATCGAACTCTCCAAGTAACAATGCCTTGACGTTGAATGATGCCCAGTGTCCACAGCTAACTTTACTTTGGTGGCGCTAAGGGTTGTACAGCCCACATACTCCAGCATCTGAAGCCCATCATGGGAGTCGCAGAAAACGAGGGACCCCAATACGGGTCCCATAAGACTTACAAGGAACCTGGCGAAATGTAGAAGGATCTGTCCAACTGCGACAGCGAAAGCCCACAGAACGAAGGCTCGTGCGCAGCATGCATCACTTTGACACACGCGCACACACACACACCCAATAATCCTGTCTGGACAAGGTCTTATCCTCTCTCGAAGCGCACATACTCTCAAGACCAGCCAGGTCGGAAACTCAACCGCAGAGAGAAGCTCTGGAACCGTACCGATAAAGCTACCCTCCGACCACGAATCGGGATGACTCTTCCAAACCCTGACTCGATCAGGCCGCACGCCCACGAAGCATGCTCTGGTCGGGCGGATGCTGTCTTATGTAGCCTCTGCCTGCCTTGAGTGTGCAATACGAGCACGCGGACCACCCTCCGAAACCGTATCAGCGACTCTTGTGACGTGAAGGCCGAGTGCGGCACTGGCCCCAGCAAAGCCTGGAAATTGGCTAATGCCGGCCGCTGCCTTCTCAGAGGAAAGCCATTTAGGCTCTGTGCGGGTCGAGAGAAAATAGGGATTGTCAAGTGTTTCGCGGATAAGCGGGGGTGTTAAGTTTAGACTCCAGAGAAGAGCCTCCTCGCAACATCCCAAAAAAGGGTAATGCAGACGGAGTTTAGTGATGATTCACCTGCTTCCAGTACGTAACTGGTGCTACGCATGCGAAATCGACGTGAAGGGGCATGCATCAACTGTTTCAACCGTCAACTTCCGCAAGGCCAGAGCTCCTGCAGTAGGAGGCTGTTTGCTCAAATTGGCCCAGGCAGCCATGTTAATGTACTGCCCAAGGCTGCAGAAACTCTCCGCCATGTTGTCAGGGTTCGGATCTTATGTCTTATGCGTTGGGGTCCAGGCGTGGCTCTACTTGAGTCACGCCTTTAACTTGCTTGGAGAGTTTCCGCAGGCTTTAGTTCTATGCCCATCACAGGGTCAAAGCTCAAAAGAGGAGGGTTGATTGGCACAGGACGACTCTAGACTTCAAAAGCTCCTGCGTGGCACGGCGACATGAGACTCGTTAGCTGAATCAGTCTTGACCTATCAAGAGACTTAGACAACCAACCCCTTCCAATGCGGGCCAAAACAGACAGGGATGCTTGCCCCGGCAGGCAGCATGATTGGTTGAACAGCATCCCTCGCGACATGGACAGCACCGGCTCCCGCGATGTGGTTGCCGAGCTGGTTCTGATCTCGAAGGACATGTCAACCCTGCACAGCTTAAGCCTCCGAGGCCAAAGTGGAGCACTGAGCTCAGAGGGCTGTCGATCACGAGCCCTTGCGGGAAGAGGCGCAGAGAGTCACTCTCTCTCTTTCTCTCTTCTCGCGTACTCAATCCAGACCTCTAGTTGTCGTAACTACTCAAAAACCCCCAACCTCCTGCGGCTGACTCGTGGTCAAGAGGTGCACACCGACATCCACACAAAGGCTCTAGGCCTGCGTGGCTCTAGGTCAGGATGTCCGGCGCTGGAAACGAGAGGCACGTGTGAAACGGAAAGCCCGTCGGCTCTTCAAACATTCATGGGCTCCAGCTGAAGCACGTAGTCCTCCCCCGTTGTCCGGGAAGACAGGGACCGCTTCTGGTACTGCATGTACACGAAAGCCGAAGCAGCTACTGCTACGAGGAGGACAGGAGCGAACAAAAGATGGTTGTTCTCTCCTGACACCGCTCCCTCAGCTGCAACGAAGGCAGCAGGAGCATCCTTGTCCTTGGCCTCGTCCTTCGATTTGTCTTTCGAGTCTGCGGCCTCGTCCTTGGAGTGGGAGCTCTTGTCCTTCGCCTCGTGCTTGCTGTGAGAGTGCGAACCTTGGGCGATGTGCTTGTGGTCGGCCTTAGAAGCCTTAGTATCTTTGCCCTGGCCCTGCATGTACTGCTTGTACTGCATGTACTTGTCATAGCTGCCCTGGCTGCCTCCCTGTCCCTTCATGTACTGCTGGAAGTCAGACATGTACTTCTGGTAGTCCCCCACAGCTCCCTTGCCCTGGCCTCAAATGCACGGCTGAAATCTGAGGAATGCCAGATCTCCACCCAAACAGCTGATTGCTTGGAACAGTCGGGTAACACATGGCAAGCGCAAACAATCGGAACCAAAAACCGTAGACCTTGAAAATTGTATAGGCAACACGGTAGAACAGGATTGGTTTCAACGAAGCTCGGCTCCATCCTCGAGCCATCCCAGAAACAATCTGCTCAAGACTCTACCAGACCCCCGCACCCATGCAGCCAACTCTACCCTCTTTGCACGTCTTCCCTGCTGCCTTGCATGTATTTCTGGAAGTCCGATGAGTACTGGGACATGAACTTCTGGTAGTCGCCCTGGCTGCCTGTTCAAGAAGAGTTGCAACCTGGTTTCTGCGCTGGCCTTGTGACTTTTACGCTGTCGTTTTACGCTGTCGGATGAGAGTCTACGACTGAATTCGCTTTTTCAAACCCTCTGCGACCGGTCCCTTCGCCCGACCATGCCGCAGCCATTCCATGTCTGACGCCCACTAAAAAAAAATCAAGCAGCGCCCGAGTCAAGTCGTAAGCTGTTGCCCGGTGCGCTTCCTGCTTTTCGAAGACCTGAGCCTTCGACATGAACATGCACTGGCCCTAGTTACTTGCCTTGTCCTTTCATGTACTGCTGGAAGTCAGACATGTACTTCTGGTAGTCCCCAGCTGATGCGCCACCCTTTCCCTGACCTGGGACATTCGTCACAGAGATGTTTTCAAAACACATCTATGCTGCAGTTCAGCCTTTGGATTTGACGACGGTGCGCACAAGATAAGCCCGGAGTCAAGGTGGCAGGCGAGCCAAGGGCAGAACAAGAAACCTACTCGGCTGCAACTCTGCCACCCCGAAGCCTGAAGCCCGTTGCATCTTCAGGGAAGTTCCCCGTGTATCTTCGCAAGAACACAATTCAATTCGTAAAGCCATGTGCCACCTTGTGCTTGCCAGTATCCCCGAAAACTTGCCAACGGCTTGCCCTTGCGCGTCTCCGTGACCCTACCTTGCATGTACTTCTGGAAGTCCGACGCGTACTGGGACATGAACTTCTGGTAATCGCCTTGGCTACCTGCATGAGAGACAGCAAATTGTAGGACGAGGAGCACCGAATAGAGGGCACGATTGACATGTTCGTCAGCACTCCATCCGCCATTTACACAGCTCAGTGAACGCAGGCATACTCCCTAGGCCCTAGGGACTGATCCCCGGCCGCCTCCATGTCCCTGCATGTACTGCTGATAGTCTGACATGTACTTCTGGTAGTCCCCAGCTGATGCGCCACCCTTTCCCTGACCTGGCACATCTGTTGGATTTTACCAACAGGTTTACAACTACCGAGACTGCAGTGTCACACTGCAGTCCAAACTTCCCGTCTTGCCCACGACCACATGAAAGCGGATGGAAAGAGGTGTGCGAGCCCGACAGTAAGATGTAGAATCGGTTGATCAGCAAATAAACTGGTTCATGCAAGTCGAGCCCGCATAGTTGTGTGAGTGTTGCGTGCTCTGTCAACACTGAACCTTTTGAGCCTCTCTGAAAGCGCATGTGTCAACCCGACATGCGGGTCGCCACTGGTGGCTCATGCCAGGGTTTCCCGTCCAGTCCGACGCTTGGAAGCCCAGTGCTCATCTGGAGCTTTAACCGTTACTAGACCTTAGACCTGTGAAGATGCTTTACGATTCTCCGAAGATGCAAGGAATGCAGGGCCAACCATGTGCAATCGTGAGCGAGCATCTCGCTCTTGCAGGTCTTCCCCCAAGCCTTGCATGTACTTTTGGAAGTCCGAGGCATACTGGGACATGAACTTCTTGTAGTCGCCCTGGCTGCCTGGTCAGGGTTTGCCATCATGGCAGACGAACAAGGTCCTACTCTGGGGCAGTGGGTCAGCACGTCTTCTATCAAGCACCGAATGCGATTCCTCATGTGTGCCGATCCTTGGCATTTGTCTGTTCGTGAAGGTTCGGCACCTCAATGCTCAAGCTGGGTACTGCTTTGCCACAGAAACTTTTCTCGTATCTCCGCACGGTCAGGTTCTGAACAACAGCGTTCCATCCTTCTGAACACGAAGTGTTTGCAGACTTGCTACCAGCATTGCTGTGAGGTAGGGATTGCGTGACAGCCTGCGCTCGTGTGGCCAATCACGTCCTGCACGACACTTTCCAACATACGAAGTTTGAGGACTGCAGGCAAAATTTCGAGGGCAGGTCGAGGCTTTCGCTCTTGCTCGAGCGTAGCTCATGTCGAAAGTGCTTGTCTTGGTGGGCCGCTGCGCTCGAAAGCAGTGAGCCCCTTCTGCCTCCATGTCCCTTCGTGTACTGCTGGAAGTCAGACATGTACTTTTTGTAGTCGCCTGCACCAGCTCCGCCCTTCCCCTGTCCTGCAAGGGGTGTAGGACCATGGGAGTCTGACTTGCAACTCTCAATTGACTGCTCGTACGTCAGGATACCTGCGCGGCCATGACAGCCTGCTTAACAGTAGAGTTCAGTGTTAAATCGAGACCAGGAGAATCTGCAACAGTACACTCAAATAAAGATCCGGGCATGCAACACTCCAATTGTTTGCAACCTTGCCCCAACAGATCCCAATAGGCAAACACGTCTTGTCCGGCCTTGCATGTAATCCGAAGCATACTGAGACATGAACTTCTGGTAGTCGCCCTGGCTGCCTGAATCAGACTACGCTCAGGTATCTAGAATGAAACACGCATCTCGAAGCGAAAGCGTCCTGCACCAGGATCTACACCGCTCTGATTTGCCATCCAGAACGCATACTACACGTGCACCAACTAGACGAATTGCAATACCCAGCCCAGGTCCAGTTCTCACTTTCGACAACTCCGTGCGGATATGGCAACATTCAACCCGTCAATATCGCGATGCAACAGAGGGAAGCTAGTCTCCACGACCTCAAAACCTTTCAGCTGCGGCGAGGTGTTGCATGCTGAAACAGGCCTCACGCACCACATCAGTTAGCACTGTTTCAGGCAAGGGAAATGTCGTTTGGATGGGTCTTCGACTCACCAACAGCCAGTGGAAAGCAACACCTCGCTCAACATGCTCGCCAGAATTCATCCGCTTTTACACAGCTCAGTGAAAATGGGCATGCTCCCTAGGCACTGATCTCCAGCCGCCTCCATGTCCCTGCATGTACTGCTGATAGTCTGACATGTACTTCTGGTAGTCCCCAGCGGCTCCACTGCCCTGACCTTGCACATCTGCCCCAATTAGCAAGCACTCAAACTGCATCGCGTCAGGCTCTGAAGATGCAACGAATAAGCCAAAGCATTGACCACTACGCGTCAAGTCCCAACAAAAAAATCACAGTGCAAAGGGAGGATGCGATTCTGCACTTCCCTCCGACCTTGCATGTACTTCTGGAAGTCCGAGGCATACTGGGACATGAACTTCTGGTAGTCGCCCTGGCTACCTGTGTCAGGTGGCGAATGCCGAATGCAGCCCGGAAGGGCCAACAATTTGCGCAAAAGCAAGGCTGAGTTGCAGTGCACAATGACGTGCCGAAAACCTCCCGCTCTCTTTAAATACTCGGCTGCGAATCATGCCTTTCCTTAGGACGGAAGCACTATTCGATCGTTTCGACATCTCCGAGAGCTAGGGACATGTATGCTCGCATTTCTAGTGATACCAAAGTCTTTCCCGAGCACCGCAGCCCTGAGGCTGGTGGTTTTTTGCCCCTTCTCCCACCAGGCACGACGGCTTGCTGTTCGAACGACTTCTTTGTACAAGAACAGGAAGCAGATATAACCCCACGACAGCTTATGACATGTGACTCGTCGCATCACCTGCAGCGGGTCACCAGCCGCCATCTTTCCGAAGCGAAGGAGTTGAAGAGCTTTGGTTAGTGACTGTTAGTGCTTACAGCACTGCAGAAAATGGCAGAGCAAGCTCTGTAAAATTGGGGCCCTGGCTCGAAGCCCTCGGGGCTACCAAGACTTTACTTTTCGAAAATCCTATAACAAATCTGTACTCTGTACAGATGCACCTTGAAGGCTTCCTGATGCCTTCGGCATGGAAGCAGCAATCTACTTGCTTACGGTACCTCGGGCCAAGCCGCGCTAGAAAAGCGTGACGGAGCTCGATCGTAGCTGCAATGAAAGACGTCAAGCCCAGCTGCTGAAGTGCTTGGTCGAAAATTTGGCATGCCTTGTCACCTGGCGGAGCTTTTCGTCGTTCGTTGAAGGTTACTTTGTAACAGCCGCCAGGCCCATAGCAGCTGCGATTTCGAGCAGCACAGTTGCATCAGCTGCAGCATAACGCATCTGAGACTCCGAAAGGGGCCGCCTGTCCCAATCGGAACACTGCTCCGTTTTGTCCAGATGCACCCCAAGCCAGGTGGCTGCAACTGATTTTAATCCGGGAGTGTGCCCCTTACTGCTCATATGCTGCATGGCCAGCTTTTGCAAATCGATCACCTCAATATCCACTGTGGCATCGTTCTGCTCGTCTCTCATTAGTTCTGCCAACTTGTCTGCATCGGGAGCGAATGCAAAACCCAGAAACGACGCACTCTCACACTGGAACAGCCACCGGAAGAATGCCCTGGTTTCTGCACTGGGGGCGGCAGTGTCTATGACCCACGCATGTTCATGAATCGCAAGTTGCACAACGGATGGAGTCTTGCCACAAACACCCCATTCGGTGTCCACCCCTACGAAGACCTTCTGAGTCTCGAAAAATCTCTCCAGAACTCGTCGCACGGAAGCGAGGCCGACACTGTCAGAAATCCAATCATGCTGAACTGATAGAATGTACTCCGAAGCAGGGGCCGAAAAGGACTTCTCCGCAGCTTTGGCGTAACCGTTGCAGGCGGCTTTCGAGGCCATCGTGGCGATCTTCCCATTCCCACTGAGCTGTTCCAGAACCCAAGCCGGCATCATGACGGAGTCTTTGACGGCATCGTGTAGGAGACTTGATTTCTGCTTTCGGAAAGCCTCTTCGACAACGTTCTCCATCATCTGAGCCCACATGGGTGTCGCTGCTTGCATGCTGCATGCCCATCGCAAGCGTTGCAACAGCTCTGTGACCGCTGGACCCCCCTGCCTTCTGGACAGCGACGTGCCAGCTGCGAGGGAGACCTCGGGCGTGTAGCTGTTGGACAGCCGGGCCCAGGCCTGGAGGCCCTCCCAAAACTTCTCCACTGCTAAGCGATCTTCGAAAGTGAACCGCGTCTTCAGACGAATCACCTCCATAGCCAAATGAAGGGAGGCTGCAGCAGTGATGTCTGTGACGGCGATAGTGTCGAGCCAATACGGCGACGTCGCAAGCTCCTTAAGCAAAGCAGAGAGGATCGTGCGCAGAGGCCGCCGGTCATGGTGCCCGATGTGATGTAAGGCTCGTCCCAACGCTTCCTCGTCGAGCAGCTGCAGGAGACCGACCAAAGTGACACTCCCGGTCCGTAAGGAAGCACCGATAGCTTTCTGGAGGGCATCGTCCAGGATGCTCCGCCCACGACGAGTCCCGCACGTTTCGGCCACCACGGTGACAAACTCAGTCCTGTTAAGCGCGCCGGCTAGGATCTTCGAAATTCGAGCAGCCAGATCTGCGGACAATTGCTCTCGTTGCGCCTCCTCAGCTGCTGCTTCCTTCTGTTGCAGCTTTCGCCTCCAATGTGGGCAAGTCTTCATGTGCTCTGCCTGTGCCTGCAAGGCATCACTGGCATTGCGGCTATCTTCCCATGGTCCGTCAAAGGACTTTTCTGCCGCTTCCAGCAGTGCAAAGGTCTCTGCATCCAAGCGTGCTCGTCCCATACTTAGAGGCGTGTCACCAGTCACCACAATCACACGCGGGTTTGCACCTCGACGGAGCAACAGCTGCACTATCTTGCTGTGGCCACGCCCAGCAGCAAAGACTAGAGGCGTGTGGCCTCGTCGAGTTGCGGCGTTCACATCTGCGCCTGCATCAAGCAGGACCTCCACCAACTCCACATCATCTCCTCTTAGCTGGCTCGCGAAATGCAGTGCTGCCTTCCCGTTCTGATTGCCTTGGCCTACAGCCTTTGCTAGAACAACGGCGTCCAGGCTGCCAAGGAAGCCGGCAATGGTATCCACGGATCCTTCAGACTTTTGATGCACACATGCCTTCCGCAGCCACTTGCTAGCAGCTTCTGGGCTTCCCGAAGCATCTCCGTCACACTCGTCATCCGAAGACTCGTCGGGGTCAGCAGTGAGCACCACCGCGGAGAGAATTGGAGCCATGCGTGTGTTCTGGCCGTCGTTTCTGGCGGGAAAGCCAGCACGTAAAATCCCCAGACCCGCCGGGCGGCTGGAATTCAGGAAGGATCGACAGAAATGTGGGCCAGCCAGGATCTGCAGCACCACTAGGCAGACGGCCCGGCGCGCACGAAGCCGGAAGAGCATTGAACCATACTCCACATTCGAAACGTTGCCGGCGGAATCGTTTGCTTACATGCTGTAGTACTGCTGCAAGAAGTAAGATTTGAAGATATCCCCCTTGAATGCCAAACTGCACAATGAAGGATTTTATACTAGTATACCCCTGTCAGGGAATATGGGAGATGTCAAGACTGGAGTCGGCTGCTGCACTCGCTTGAAACATGTATTGTGCACACGACCACCAGTTACACGACAACCCAGGGTGCTTATCGCTGTTCGACAATTTGGAAAGACCGTCTGGGTGCTTCGCCCCGCCTCCGTGTCCCTTCATGTACTGCTGGAAGTCAGACATGTACTTTTGGTAGTCGCCTGCGCCAGCGCCAGCGCCGCTCTTTCCCTGGCCTCGTGCGAGCTCCCAGAATGCCGAATACCATCTCATACTGTCTTTCTTGCCCCAGAATACTACCGGACAAATCCCACAGACCTGAGTGCGCAAGATTCTCAAATCTTAATCTATCTACCACAAATAGTTCTACAAGAAATCTTGTCTTTGCAGCAGTCATAGTAGCCTCTGCCAGTCGATGATTGGAACTGGCCCATACCGACATCTGACATCTGACACACATCGAAACAATTTTGGTACCAGTAGTGGACTAAGAGCAGCAAAGGTCTAGCAGAAGCCTGTAAGTTGCACTAAGTGCAAGCGATCTCCGGGTCCGAACAAACTCCTGTGCGACTGATACGATGAGCTAGGAATAGACGAACATATTCGCAGTTTCGATATTACCAAGAACGTGATAGTGGATATTGGATAGGTTTATAGGGACATGGCGGCTAATCGGGCGGGAGTCGCACAAATTGCGTGGGTGCATGAGGGAAGTGGAAATGTGTGTGCGTGTGTGTGTGTGTGTGTTTATATATATGTATATATTCAGGTTCCTGGCGTTCCCAGCCCTGCCCCAATGGTATGGTCCGGTACGTGTGGGGAAGGGGGGGGCTGGCGTATGCGGAGAGGGGTCGGGGCGGTTGGGTGTGGTGCTGATGTGGGGCGGCCAAGGGTCACAAAGAGGTCCGGGATCTTACGCAAGCCCTTGTGCCCTACTCAAGCCATAAACCCTACAACGTAGGGCGTGTTCCTGTTTTTATTAACCTTGACATGTACTTAATACTTTAAACCTTACACCCAACCCCCGCCCCAAACCCTGCCTAGATGCAGGCTCTAAGCTTGAAGCAGAACATAAATCGTCACC